ATAATAATAATGATAATAATAATTTAAAAAATAAAAATAATTATAAGAATAAATAAGGATAATAGTGAGGATGATTTTCCTCGGAGATTGTTATTGTTTTTATTATTACTAGTAAAAGTAAACGTTTTACGAACAGAATAAAAATGAAGAAGTATTAGGAAAGTTAAGAAGAGGAAAAAGGCTGAAAACAGAAAAGAAACAAAACATAAATATTTTACCATGAATTTATTCATGTAGCACCCCCTCTTGACTACCTCTAGAGGTAAGGCTTCTTCCCTCTCTTCGAAGACGGGGCATTTTCTCCTAAAGTTCCAGCTCTATCACTTTAAAAAAAAAAGAGTTAGGCCTACATGCCAATTGTTGCTTCCTAGAAGAACCTAATCTAGATTCTAGATCTCGATGGATTATAAAGACATAGGCCAATAATTCAAAGAAGGAGCCTAGGTCCATAGATAGATCTAAGTTTAGAAATTCACATTTTTAACAACTGACAGGCGTCACAGATGGCCTAGATTTCTAGATCTATTTACAGAAGGAAAAATCCACTTTCAAGAATACTTTCATGATTATTGATCTCGATCTAAGATTCACATATAGATCTAGCCTAGATCTAAATCTTAGAATCTAAAATGCACAGCAAGAAAAATTCACTTTCAATAATAGGTTATCGAAATATTACAGATCTAGATTCTACTTTCATTTCATGATTCTTCTTGATCTCGATTTAGATCTCGATTCTAGATCTCATCTAGACACTGTGCACAAAATACACTCATCCTTCGGCGTGCGCGCTAAATACACTGCAGGAGAAATCTACTTTCAATACCTTCATGATGTTTTATCTAGATCTAGCTATTAGATCTAGACATACACTCACATACTACTACATGCGGGGCGTAAACCGGGCTACGATTGGCAGAACCTTTGGCTTTGACCCATGAACACATTAAGTAGGCCTACGGCAGGCTACTCTAGGCGCTTTCGACGACACCCTCCCTGTCACTCTCACCACCCTCCCTCTGTAGTGCTTTCTGGCCTTCTCAATCTCTTCCTCTCTCTCTCTCTCTCTCTCTCTCTCTCTCTCTCTCTCTCTCTCTCTCTCTTTCTTTCTTTCTTTCTTTCTCTCTCTCTCCCAAAGTAGGGTAACAAACGAAAAAGTCCCCACTTTGTAACATGTATTACTACTTGATTCTTCTTCTCCTTCTTTTTCTTCTTGTTCTCCCTCTACTCCTACTCTAATTCCTCCTCCTCCTCCTCTTCCTCTTCCTTCTCCTCTTCCTCCTCCTCCTCCTCCTCCTCCTCCTCCTCCTCCTCCTTCCTCCTCCTCCTCCTCCTTCCTCCTTCTTCTTCTTCTATGAGCGCTCCAAACCCACTGTGAGAAGACGGTCAAAGGCGTGAGATTGAAACCGGGAATTTCCGTAAACCTTCTTAATGTATAATTGAACACAAAAATATCCTTTGGCGCAGGCGGCACTCCGCAGTGAATATACAATGTCGAAGCAAATGATGGCGATCGCTACCAAAGGACTGAATTTAACTTAAAATGGGCTTTCTTCTTACGCATTTGATCTTAATGAAAATACAATAGTGCAACACTACGTTTCAAGTTATGGGTAGTGGCAAAGTTTCATATTTTTTCATTCTGTAGTTTCGGAGAATATACTGTTCGCAAAATTCGGCCTTAGCTCCATTAGTAGTAAGATTATTGTTCCTTTTAAACTTACGCGTGCTATTGAGGGATACCAACATGTCTGCACCCTTTCACGCGTTTTGATCACGTTCTGTGCCAGACCGAAGGGCTAGAACCCTAATGGTCACTGGATCGGAAAAGTAAAGTATCATGTTCTGTGCTAATATACTGACTTTTTTTCCACACTGAAGTGCTCTCTCCCATAACCTGGATGCTCTGGGGCCAGGATTTAGATAAAATTAGGATCGTGGCTCAAATGATTAAGCTGATGTGAAGTTTAGTCCTCTGTCATGAGCTTTTAAATTTGTAAATGGAGATTTCCCGCTAGGAGCAATAGAACTAGAATTTTAATTGCTTCATTTTATTTTATTTTTAAATTTTAGAGTCATCTATGAGTTCTGATGTTTCACACCATTATTTCTTTATTCACTCAAAGGTAGAACAGTGATTGTCTAATTTTGTCATATGTAGCGTGTTCTTTTATGTTTATTTGTGTCATGACGCAGTGGAATCATGCTCTTGTCAATTTTTTGGTTTTTGGTGTTATTGGTTTGATCTTAGAGCTTGTTCAATTGCCTTGCTTTTGATTTAAAAATTGTCCATCTATGTTCAATAGAAGTAGAGACATTGCGTTTGAAGGAGATAGGGACCACCTGGTTTCAAAGATTATATTAGAGTGAAAATGGCTGCCAAAGTTTAGTGACTTTCAAAGGTTGAGAGTCCTTGGAAACTCAATTTTTTTTTTCTTTGTTAAACATTTTTTTTTAGTGAAAGCTACACAGCAATCAATGTTGTTTTAAATGGACATAAAAGAGTTTAGCCTGATAATAAAAATTCCATAAAAATTGCCACACTGGAAGAAAAAAGTTGTTTCCTTCAATTTCATTATTTTGATGAACGCCTGATTTCACCACGTTGCATCACATTTATTCTCATGAAGGTAAAAGAATGATTGTCAAATTTTGTCTCATGTAGCCTTCTTTATCATCATGCAGGGAACTGTTTACAACTGTTCTGATGGTCACCATGACAACGATAGAGTGTTCCTGACGAGACGTCCATCCACAAAGAACTCGTACTCTGTAAGTCATTTACTTTGGACCGTTTTCTGTTTTCTCAGACAGTTGAACAGCGGTCACCTGACCAAAGAAGTCACTTGTATAAATGGCTACTTCCCACTCCCCCCTTGCATTTCCTTGCATTTTTTCTCAATTATAATGACGCTGTTTAAGACACCCATCTGTCTAAGATAACCACTTTTCTCCCCTATTTTTTCTTTATTTAACTTTTAAGACATTTTCTTCTTTCTTTCTTTTTTTATTGTTAAAAGTTAAACTTAAGGAAAACCAGAAATGGAATTCATGTTGAAGCACCTAGAACCTAGAGCCACAGGGAGTGGGGGCCGTACATTTTGGATATTAATAATAATGATAATAGTAATAATGATTATTTTCATTATTTTTATTATTTTTCTCCTTCTTCTTCCCCTTTTTATTATTGTGATGTCTGTTTCTCTGTTTCTTGTGGATTATTGGCGCTGGTGTAGTTTGCTCCTTTCCTATGAAACAATCATTGTCATTATCTCTCCTCTTTTTGTGCTTCTAACTGTCTAACACCTAATCTTCGGCACTTATACGAATTGTGTTGCGGGTGTCATAAAATACTTGCTAAAATAGATTATAAACACTGTTCCGGGGGGGGGGGGGCTCTCATGGTCTTGAGGTAACGGTTTACACCTCTCTTTCAATAAATCCTGGGTTTGAAACCTAACACGTCCTTTCTAGCTCTCTAATAGCCATGTTCTGTCGTTTGATTTCGTCTCCACTTTCTGCCCTACACCCCCTCTCTCCTTTGCTCCCTCCTCTGGGCTCCTGACTCTTTCCACTGCCTTTCAACTGCTATTCCTTGGCTCTGTACTTCTGTCTTTCAGTCACACCCCTGATCTTATGGTAGGTGATATTTAACATCTAGCCTTCTTGGATAAGTGCAAAAAATCTCGTAGATCAGATGTGCAAGTTGCGCTCGTTAAAAATCCCTTGGTTGTCCAAATTTGATAAGAGCAGGCTTCGGCCGTCACTGGGGCAAAATTCAAAATTAAATCCTACCAAACTGAAAAGAAAATTTTTAATGTGTCCTGTGTGCTCGTACAACCTTATGCTGTTGCGAAGGCCTTAAAACTAGAGGTGGGGAAAATCCGCATAAACTATCCAGATAACCAGATAATTCTCAATGAAACATTATCTGAATTCAGACCCCAAACTCTCTTTCCTGATCCGTTTGCCGAAGTAAGTGTACCCATTTGTTGATGAAGTGATGTCATCCCGTTTGTTGAAGAGGTTCTAACCCATTTGCCGAAGCGGTTCATAACATATTATTTGCCGAAGAGGTGTACTAACATATTATCCGAATTTTGCTAAATCGACTCATTGCCCAGTCCTACTTAAAACACTTACCAAAAATACCCCCATAAAACCCCGCTTGTTTCCCAACACTGAATGACCATGATTGTGTTGGTGTGCTTCTCTTAACTCCCACTTTGATTCACCCCTCAGATCTGGTACAAACCCAGAGACCTTTTCCTGGCCTGGGAGGGTTTTGTCAACGCGTCCAACGACCTGGCGGGGAGCCAACTGTTCCAGTACGACATCACAGACGTGACCAGGAACAGCCTGCAGATTATCTCCCTCTACTACTACTTCGACATGATGTCTGCTTTCCAGAAAAATGACTCGGCGGGAGTTCAGTGAGTCAGATGTTGACAATTTTTTTTGTACAGGAAAACAGATGCTGTCCACCCTGCTTTAATGGCCACCTTTGTAAGACTACTACCTGTCACCTGTACAAATGGCCACCTCTGTAAGACTACTACCTGTCACCTGTACAAATGGCCACCTCTTTAACTAAGACTACTACCTGTCACCTGTACAAATGGCCACCTCTGTAAGACTACTACCTGTCACCTGTACAAATGGCCACCTCTTTAACTAAGACTACTACCTGTCACCTGTACAAATGGCCACCTCTTTAAGACTACTACCTGTCACCTGTACAAGTGGCCACCTCTTTAAGACTACTACCTGTCACCTGTACAAATGGCCACCTCTTGAAGACTACTACCTGTCACCTGTACACCTGGCACTTCCCATTTCCTCTCCCTTGCTTGTTTTACATTTTTTAATAGCTGTGTACTTTGCACCGTAAGTCGAATGTTGATGATTTTTCTCTTCTTTCGCCTTATTGAGTTGGAATATTGGTTGCTGGTTATAATATTTGTACTTTACACTGTGAGATGGCCACCAGTTGCCTTTTCCCCTGCCAATGGGTGGCTGTCTCGGAGAATTTTGACTCTGCTTTTTTTTTCTGTGCAAGAGATGTTTGAATAGACTAATAGACTGTTTTTTGTTTACACTTGAGACTGAATCAATTATGCTGGTTTCTCAAAAGGACATTAAACATGTCTAAGTGGTTCTCCTTCAACCACACCTGCTATTGTGAGGCATCAGTGTGAAATCAGGTACTCTTCAAAATACTGAAATTTTCTGCCAGTCTGGCAATTTTTATCAATTTTTTAATCTTTGACTCAATACCTTTCATGCCGACACATTTTGGTGCGGATTGTAGGCCTTCGGAAAGATGTTGATTATAGGAACAAAAAAGATGTATATTCTAAGTTTTCAAGAACTATCAAGCCATGGAAGTCACTAAACTTTGGCAGCCATTCTCTCGCTAGTTTTACTTCTGAAACCAGGTGACCCCAACTTCCTTCAGTCGCAAGTATCTCGACTTCTGTTCAAGATAGATGGGTATTTTTTTCATCCAAAGCAAGACAAATGAACGAGCTTCAAAGTGATGTCAATAATTCTATATTCCCAAGAATTAACAAGCACCTGATTCCACCATGTCGTGACACAATTGTCCTTTGCAGGTGGTTTTAATAAGGCGCCACTGGCAAGTCCTGCATCTTTTGTTTCCTGTGTCATTTCCATCTGCCTGTCTTGTCTTGTTTTTTCCGTGCATCAAATAACTGTTATTGTGTTGCTATGCTCCAATGTAGTCATACCCAGACCAATATCTTTGTGCAGAGCTGCCACCTGTGTAAGACAACCATTATTGTGTAAGACAACCATTATTGTGTTGCATGCTTCACTTTACTCATACCCAGACCAATATCTTTGTGCAGAGCTGCCGGGGTCAAAATGAGTGGCCTGTTGGCCGATATGGATCACGTACTCAGTGCCAATGATCGTTTCTTGGTGGGTGGTTGGATCGCTGATGCCAAGTCCTGGGCAACTGACGCAGACGAGACCAAACTGCTGGAGTACAACGCCAGAAACCAGATCACTTTGTGGGGGCCTGACGGGGAGGTAAGGGAGATCAGTTTGTGGGGGCTGGATGAGTAAGTCAGTCAGATCAGGGAAGGGTAAGTCAGTCTCTCGCAACATCTCTCTGTTAAATTTCTTGTGGAGAGAAGTAATGGGATAGATGTATGCTTTTTTCCCCCCCCTCTCCCTTTTACCTCCCGCGCCACCATTACCTATATAAACAAATATATATGTGGCAAAATACAATGGCAAAGAAAAAAAAACTCTCTCTCTCTCTCTCCCGCGCCACCATTACCTATATAAACAAATATATATGTGGCAAAATACAATGGCAAAGAAAAAAAAAAGGAATTGCAACTTCTAGGAATGATGTTTTTCAAACTTTTTGGTGACATTTTCGTAAATTTTTCATAAATGTGATATCATATTAAAAATTTTCACATAGTGTCCTTTTAAACGTGCTGAACATGCTGATGGAGTCAATCAAAATTGATTCTTAGTCATGAAGTTGAACCTGCTCCTATGACCACCTGGCCAAGACAATCACCTGCACAAACAACTTCTTCTCACTTCACTCCTCATGTTGTTTTTTTTTCTTCTATATTTTAATGACACTGTTTGGCATGTCCGCCTGTCTAAGACAACTTATTTTTTCCTTTGGTATAGGTGGTCTTCTTAGACAATTTCAATCATATTTTATCATTATTTTTCTCTAAACTTAACCTCTTTGACCGTTTGTCCTCAGATTGTTGATTATGCCTCCAAACAGTGGGCCGGAGTGGTTGCAGAGTAAGTGCTTTATGGCGAAAAGTTTTAACCTGTTGAACCCACTGTACCGAAATATCGGTATGAATGCAACACGGCAAATAGCCTGGGGTACTGAAATATTGGTATTACACACCCACTTAAACATGAAGTACTTTTACAGAAATAGAACACAAGTTTGAAATAGCAGCATCAATATACACCAGCATGATGATATTACAAGGAAAAAAGTTTAGATGGATAGATAATCAGATCGACTCTGAAATAAGTTTTAGAAAAGTTTACCTAAAAAAATCATTTAACTTACTCTGTAACTCAGGGTGCTCTCATGGTCTAAAGGTACAGTATTCGCTTCTCTTTCTATAGATCCCAAGTTCGAATCCTTACAGCAATGTGAAATTCTCTTTTCTAGGAAAAAAAAACATAGAAAAAATAACAATCTTCTCCTTTCACTTCCTTTTCTAATCATGTTCTATCTTCTGTCTGCTTTTATCTCAACTTCCAACACCCCCCCCCCCCCCTTTTCAAATTTTCTGATTTTCAAAACATTTATTTGGTTTGGCTAAAGTTATATACAGGTGCGCTCAATAGCCTGAACTTTACGCTAGTTAGGTTTGATTGTTGGGCTATGATGTGCATGTTTTAGTGACCGGTTTTAATGGGATTTATCTGGAAAAAGAAAGTAGGACATCTTTGCAGAATATTGAGCCTCCTTGTATGCAGATCATGCATTTTCCAACATAATTTTTTAAAATTTGCAATTCTCACCTTTGCTATCAACTAGTTGAAATTATGCATAGCAAAATATAACGTACTTTCCTTCTAGTATGAGGATTGTGTCAAATAACTGTTGTGATTTAGATTTTTAAAAGTCCTAAGTTCTCCATGAGTTTTATTTTGTGGTTGAGCTCTGTATGGAATCAAGTTTTAAAGAATTATTATTACTGAAAACCTTATGTCTTTTTTATTTCTGTATGTTTATTGTATTTCCTCAGCTATTACAAACCACGATGGGAGTTTTTCTCCACTTGGCTCACCCAGCTCATCAAAAATGTAAGGGGTTGTCGCTCACATATTCTACTGTACTGGCTTATTTCAGACTGATATAAAGTGGTCTTTAGATTCTTTAAAGAAGGAAAAAGATAAATTACATTGTAGTTTATTTTTCTTGTCACACTTTGCTAAATGAAAACTGTTAACAGCATTGTACATCTTTTTGCTACAGTCGAACCTGCTCTGATGGCAACCTGTTTAAGTCAATCACCTGCACCTGTACTAATGGCAACTCCCCCTGCTCCTTTTTAAAAATAAAAGTGTCTCTATCAACTGGGTTGGCGCTGACTGACAGGCAAGGTGAAAGCAGCTTTCCTTGTAAACTTCCTAATTTGTGTCAACGGGGACGTTGACAACATTTACAATTAATTTACAATTTAATTTCATGCTTTCAAAACTGAGAATATGCTTCTGTAACTATCTATTGTTGGAGTTTCTCCTTTTGAAATGCTGTTGTGTCTTTTCTTTTCCCTCCAGGGAAGCAGATTTGATGGCTACATCTTCAACAAGAATGTTATGGCACAAGTGGAGACTCCGTGGACTGTGAGCACGTACCCGTACCCTACGGAACCCACAGGTACCGTACCCGCTAGGCTGCACTTGGTCATGTGTGTGTGTGTGTGTGTGTGTGTGTGTGTGTTTGTGTGTGTGTGTGTGTATATGTGTGTGTACAAATTTGACTTCTATGTACATATATTGTCAATGTGCTTGCAAAATGGCACATCTCAATTTTGCTACTTTTGAGGTAAATGGGAAAAACAATTTTTCTAGACAGTCGGACTGTTTATCATTTAATAATCATACAAATTGCCATGCATGTTTCTTTTCTGACTGCCTGTGCATTTTTGCTTTGGTTTTACAGAATGATTTTGTACCACCAAACAAAATGAAAGGCTTGTTGCATTTGGCACAACTCTGAGTTAAGCCATTTTGCTAACTCTTAGTTTTTTTAAAGTTTTAGTAGAGGTTTTACGGCGCTCGCAACTGCATAAAGTCATATGAGCGCCAGAAGATTAGAGGTGTTACAAGAGAGTAACAAACATAAAATAGAAGAAGGGGAGATAAGGAAGATAGATGTTTGATAAGAAAGAAGGAGCAAACCACACCAGAGCACCTGCCAACCTAGCGCAGTGACGATATGTATAAGTATATGTGTAAAAATTTAAGTTCTATTTCCATATGTTTATGTATATGTGTGTGTGTGCAAATTTGAGTCCTTTGTCCATATGCATATGTGTGTATGTACAAATTTGAGTTCTGCGAATCAATCTCTCATTGAGATAATACGCTGTACTTATATGACCTGTTTGTGTGCCATAGCACTCTTATATATATTCAAATTAAATGTGTGATAGCCAATGAATGTATCCAGCAGCATCAGTGGCGTAATAGTTGGGCTCATCACTTCCTCTTTGCTTGCAAACTAATTGAGTTTTATCCTCACTTAGGATGAACAATCAAGTGTCCCCTTCTGTTCTTTTTTCCTGGGAACTGTCCCAGTCTATTGCAGTTGGCTCTCAGTGGTGGGATGAAAACTAGTCATCTCACTAAATATTTAAATTGTGTCAATGGGGCATTAAAAACATTTACAGCTCATTCTGTGTCCCCTTTCGTTCCTTTTTTAAAAATCACGTCGCTACCTGAGAATTACAAAATTATTTCTGCTCAATACCCAATTTCGAGAAATTTGACATAAAAATGTTTGTGTTTCAAAACATGCCAAGCTTTTTCAAATCCAATTTTTTGAATATCTTGATCATGACTCTTGAATAATCTTACGATTTTGAAACAGCAAATAGAACATTTGGTTTCTGACCTCATGGTCTTAGTAACTCAAAACGGCTAATAATGTCCGATAGAACTTTATAATTCTTAGGCAGGGACTTTTCAAATGTTTTCAACAGGTGGTTGGAGGTTGCTACTGATGGGTCCTACTTTTTTTTCTATCCTGTTGTCTTTTCTGCCTGTCCATCGTGGGTTTTTTTCCTCGTCACTAAATGATAGTAAATGGCTGTTTTTGTGTTGATGTGCTGCATTTTTCTCAAACAAATGATTCTTTTCTCTCCAGGAGATGCAGTTGCTATTTCTAGGGCTCTGTTAGCCAAGTATCAACCGGTCATCCACAACCCATTCTTCCAGAAGATCTATGAGATGTCGCAAAAACAACCCAAACGACAGAAGGTCGAAAGTTTGATCCGTAAGAAGTTTCGACTGTCATCGGACATCCCTGTTGAAAGCGGAACTTGGCAGTTTTCTGTGATGGAGGAGAGAATCCGGGTGGAGATCTCTCGTTAATTTAAGTCAAGTTTAGAATGAGATGAGCAATATTTCCGCTATGTGTCTCTGCCAAGTATATCTAATGGACAGTCACTTTTGCCATTATTATTTATTTTTTTTGGCTACGTCTACATTCCATCTATGATTCCTTCCTATTTTTCTATTGCGTATGTGACACACTTCTTACCTGGGATTGTAATTGTACAATGTGAATCTTTATACATTTAAATGTTGTGGCTGAAAAAGGTCTGTCGGAAGTTGAAGAGAGACTGTTCTGAGGCAGCGGGAAAAACACCATTGTGACACAGATGAAGGTGGTGATTGGAGACCACTCACTTTAAATAAAAAGAAATTGATTAAACAAATAATTTTTAGAAATAGGTTTCCTCACAGTAATCCCACATGTGGATTTTCTAACTTTAAGATTCAGAGAGCATTCTATAAATATTTTTATGGGGTGATGTTATGATAGGAAAAAAACCTAAGTTTTATTCTGCTACTTTTTTTTTGGTTTCTCAACTTGTCGTCTTAAAACTGTAGTTCTTTAATTTTTCTACAATTTTGATATAGATGTTTCTGCTTACTAAAATTAAGGAAGTTGCACTGGGGAATGGTGTGGAATGCAGAAAGTTATGAGCAAATTGTTGTAGTTCCTTGTGGGGTTCAAGCTGTCATGTGCGTGCTATCAAAGATGCAGATTGATTCCTTGTCCATGTATCCTTTGCATTTTGAGATGTGCGTAAATATAAATGCTCAACCAACCAGGTTGATATTACTGTATTACATCATTTTGATGCAAATTTCTTATTTCATTTTTAAATGACGAGACTAGATTATTTTATGTAAGTGGCCATTTCATTTCTAAATGTTGATATTATAAATTTTAAAAAATTAGTTTCTATTTAATTGTGAAATGCATGCAGGCTTTATGAAGTGACGGGTGTCTTCTGTAAGTGTTTGAGTCTGAATGCTTCGGCCAATTTTTACAGTTAATTGTGTAGGTGTTATATAGATCTATCTTTATTTTATATACATATGATATATTCTTATGACTTGACTCTTGTTAGATGAAGTACTTATCTGTGCTATGGTGACGTTCTTCCCTGGCACCGCCTTCCTCTTGTCACTAACCATAAATACAGCCTGGTTCTTCTTCTTCCTCGTTCTCGATGACAGCAGCTAGACAGTCAGTCCGATGTCGCATACAAACTGTGTAGTTCGCTTCAACTCTGAAAATACAGCCTGGTTCTGACCCTATGTGTACTCGGGGGGAAAGAATGGCTTCGTGGCACTGACTTGCCATGAGCTATATCGCTCCTCAGCAACACAAAGAAGGCTGGATTTTTTATGCATCAACTCGTTTGCATTAACTCGTTTACCCTGGAATGATTGCTATGGTTTGACAGAAACGATTTTTTTTAACAACTTGATTGAACTGAAGTTTTTGTGGAATGGAGTGGTCGCTCGGGTTTAATGAGTCCAACTGTGTAAACTTTTAAATTTGCTTTGGCATGCCTTTCCAAGAAAGTTTTTTCAACCAAGAATTGTTTCCCATAATTTTTCCTATGTCCCAGCCTGAAGTATCTACTACAGTGGAATCCACTTATAACGAGTCCTGAAGTAACGAGAAGTCTGTTATAAAAACACTTCTTTATCTTTGTACATAAAATACTAATATAACGTAATCAGACAAACACGTGAGTCGGTTACAGCGGAATACAGCTGCTACTGTGCACAGCGCATATGCCATTTATTCATGTAAAAACCTTGCCAGTGTGAAACTTGTTGGTTATCTTGCGAAACAAAGAATGGGAGAGCCCACGTGTGCCAACAATGAAGGCGGAGCGAATGAGTGGGGAGAGTGTGGCGTGCACAGACAAGCAGAACGCATCGTGCGATAGGCCAGCCTAGTCTAGATTATCTAGGCCTACCATGCCTGTCACTTCTCCGATGCGGGGATGGAGAGGTCCTAGTGCTGTACTGTGACGGACAGAGCGAATGTGTGACGTGGACGGGATGTGGTACGTTCCCATTGTGTGCAAGCAGATGGAACACACCACATTGTGTGGTGGGGTAGGGGACAACACAATGGGCGAGTTAGCCTAGAGAATTTTCTTTCTGATCGCCAACGCCGAACTGTCAACATCGCTAGCGCTAGAGAAAGATACCTGATTCGATTTTTGATCAAGTAAGACTTAAAGGTCATGTTGAACCAAATCATTATCAGGGGAGATTACAAAAAGAAATAAACCGAAAACCAGACTCATAGATTTAAGCATACTTTACTATTTCCCTTGAATTTATTACTGGATCCCATATAACGAGTATCTTGCTATAACGGACATTTGGCACAGGTCCCCTTCCTCTCATTATAACAGGATTCCACTGTACTGTGACCATCTGTGTGAATGTACAATTTTTGTCAGAAGCAACATACGAGAAAGTTTTTCCACGAAAATTTTCAACCTCTTTTAACAATAAATATTTTTCCATCTGTCATGGACTGTAATCTTGACTAGTCTTTTTTTTGGTGGTGCTCTTTTAGTGATACTAATTGGGACCTAGATCTACAGTAATTTGGACAATTTTGGTAACATTGTTGTAGCCGTGGTATTGATCACTAACAGAAATTTATATTTGAGGCAGCGTGGTGAAATCATACGCTTGTCAAAATATTGAAAGTGATGAAACTGGCTTTTTTCCACAGGCTTTCCGAATTTTTTGTTTTTCGGCTCAATACATTTTATGCCCAATAAAAACGCATTTCAGTGTGGATTTTACTGAAAAATGTTGATTAAATGCATAAAAGATGTACATTTTCAGTTTCCATCCGCTTTTAAGCTAAGGAAAGCACTAAATTTTGGCAACCATTTTCTCGCTAATTTTACCTCTGAATCCAGGCCACCCCGCTTCCTTCAACCGCAAATATCTCAACATGTATCCTAGATAAATGAGCATTGTTTTCATCGAAAGCAAGGGAAATAGACAGGCTCTAAGATGATACCAATCACTACATATGCCAAAAAATTGACAAGCTCCTGATTCCACCGCATTGTGACACATATATAAAGAGATTTTTTTATCGTTCAAGGACCATGAGCTGGTGAAAAAGTAGAAATAAACTGAAGAAATGTGGACCTGATCTAGTCTATTCAATTTAATTCTTTAATTGATTGAGGTCCCTTTGGGAGGTGGCATAGTGGTAGTAATTAAGGTTTAACCTCCAGTTTGTTGTATTTGATATCATCATCACACTTAGATTTTAGGTGTACTATTTACTGAGTATGCCAACCTGAAAAAAATTCATGTACAACGGGATCGTATTCTGGCTAGAAAGTTCTTTAGTAATTAGATTTCTTCCTTGTTCTGTCTGTAATTTTAGCTAATATTTTGACAAGTCTGTTTTTTCTGTCAATGTGTTTCCCTATTTAAGTTCTAAATTCTACTGTAGTTGTCTTAAAACATTTGTCCCACTGCTGAAATTTAGTCTTTCATGCCTCTCACTATAATACAGATGTGTGAAAATACAGGCATCGCATTCTTTTTGGGTGATCAGCTGTTCCACCACTGTTAATTTTTGGGGGGTTAAGTTTCCTGTCTCTCAGCTCTGAGAACCTCTTGTATGGATGGATAGACGGCACCACTCGAAGGTCTTTCTTCTATTCTTTCCATCTGTCGATCCCGTCCGTCTATCTTGCTTTTCCTGTACTGAATGGCCATTATTGTATTGTTATGCTTCTCTTTACTCTTTACTCTAACCCTAACCATACTTGCCAGAACAGAATATTTCTTCTGGTGTTTGATGAACTTTGGTCTGTTATGTAAGACTGATTCTGAATTCAACCAAGTGGGCTTTTTAAAGAAGTGAGGACAGATACTCCTTGGGTTCATCTGCTGCTTGTCGTGAGACTGAATCTTGTAGAAATTCAGTGAAATGACTGGATGATGAAGAGCTGGTTTCACTTTTTACTTTGAAGTTCATGTCTTTGCAAGTTGTCTTCAAACACTAGTTCTAAAATCACTCATACTTATGACAAAAGAACAGATTTTCCGAATAATTCTGAAAATCTAGATTTCTGAAATTGTCCAGAAATTGCACATGTTATAATATTATATAGTTTATAGGCAAGTTTTATTTTACAATATGATTCATAATATTGAGTCCTCACTCACCAGTCACCACACATTTTCACATGATTTGAAAAGTTCAGAATTTGTATTGAAGCCAGTTGGCACCTCTGTTCTGATACTGCGCGTCAGTAGGCATTGAGGACTGATACTGTATCAACTGTGTGTACTTTGTTGTAAGAACAAAAAAAAAAAGCAAACTAGTGTTTTGTTTTAGTACGAAATATTTATACTTGAATACTATCTTTTATCTCTATTTGATTTTTATGACAATCTTGTAAGTCCCAACTCCCTGTAAATGGTGTATTTCGTTCATTTTAAAAAATTGTTACTGGTTTAAATGCACAAAGGGTTATTTGAACTATAATATACATATACAATGTGTGAAAAATAATGTTTTTTTATTCCCGTCGTATCAACTTTTTACATTCTAGTGGAATTTGTTTGATGTGATGCAATTCAATTCTTCACAGGGATTTGTCTTTACCAGTGGTCTGTTTTGTATGTGTGTACTAGAGAAAAGTTGAGAATACAAGATGTTTGAAACTTAGTTGACCTCTTTTTTATTTTATTTCCCATAAGATTATTTTAAGTGAGATAAATCGGTCTTGCTTTTAATAGTATGTGTGTGTGTTTGTTTGGTCATTTACTGTCTTTCTGTGTTTTGGCTGAAGGTCTTAGTTTTAGTAAGGTTTTACGGCGCTCGCAACTGCATAAGGTCATGACATGTGAGCGCCAAGGGGTAAATGTCAAAACGGGGAATCAAGCTTACTCTGCTCACCTCCTTAGCCTCAACAGCCGAAAGTGTGCTTCGACTGTCAAGGTAACGCGGAAATAGCAGTTCACAAGAGAGTGACAAACTACAAAAGAAGGAGAGGAAATATGACTCATGACGATAGTAAGGATGAGGAGGAAAGAAAAAGCAGCAGTTCCCCATATGTTGTTCCGACACAGTATGGCATTGATAACACAGCCCATTTACAATTCTACAGTGCATAAAAACATGTTAATTTTGATATCCCCCTTTGGGAATGGCCTAAAGACAACTTCAGTCAGTAGCACAGCCCTGGTTGGGGGGGGGGGGTACTAATGGTCTGAAAAGCAACAGTGCTGGGGTGGGTTTATACACCTGTTTTTTTGTTTTTATTTCTTTAAAATTTTGTTGTTGTTGTCATGTTGTTAAACAGGTGTGAATCCCAGTAAAGAATTTCCAGATGTTTTCGTTTGGTTTAAGAGTACTTACTTACTTACTACCCATTACGCCATCTGGCGTTTAGGGCAGCAGTGGTTTAAGAGTATTCACTCCTTTTTACTGCTTCTGTGCTGAAGGAAAGAGCATTCTGAGCTGAAGAAATGAGCATGTCAGCAAGCTGTTCAACTGTTTAAAACTCAGAAAGCGAAGTTATCATGATGCATCTTTTACTGTTGTTTTTCAACATTTATAATTTAATTTTGACAAAATATTTCTTGAGCACATGCATCTTTTACCACCATTAAGAAACTGCAATAAACAATTTAAAAAATCCCCCCTAAACTGGACTACACCTGAACAGCTGGCTGGTGATAACATCTGTGGCACTCTTCTGAAATGTGGTTTCCACTGGTGTCAAATGTTTAAGGTAACGTTTTGTTTGTTTTGCTTGACGTCAGTAACTCAGAAGATGGGGACCTCATTCCTTTTGCTCAACTAAGGGGAGTTTGGGCTTTGAACAACAAGGCAGCAGAAGTGAGTGGTCAGAGAGCAGTTATCTCCACCTGGGTCTCTATTCTCTGGTGACTTGGAGATGGCCCCTGGGGAAGGCAAAGTGAGGAGCCCTTTTGAATATTTCGTGGAGTGGAATTTATCAACGAAGAAAGGATTGAGAACAACATTCATGCCGCCTCAGAGTTAAACATGGGGTAGGATGTTCTGTGGTGATGACGATGCAGCGGATATCCTCAAAAACGATAATTACAAAATGTTCAGTGACATTTTTTCACCAGTCTCATCCTTGCCAAAGCCATGCAGTCCCAGGACACGTATGCTTCACAGAAACCGTCAGGGCAAATAGACTCAAGGGTTGCCCGCTCACAAGAGAGAAGGAGCTGAAGAGTCAAAAAAGGGAATCCTCCGACTCAAAAATCCCGCTTGGACTTAAACACTGTGGGGGTGAGATGGTACAACTAGTCGGTTTATCTCATTTCCCCATAATATGTTGGCCCTGAGGTGCGAAACGAGGCCTAGCGGTGGGATGTAAAGAACAAGATACTTATTGGGATCCCACTTCCCCGGATCATGGGAGAGTACACGAAGTTCACTCATCGACTGTCTCCCTGCCCTTTACAAGTGGGTGGTTGGCGGGTGCTCTGGTGTGGTTTGCTCCTTTTTCCCTATCAAACGTCTATCGTCTGCATCTCTCCTCCTCCTTGTCATGTTTGTTATTCGCTTGTAGTTGTAGCACCTCTAATCTTCGGCACTTATATGACCTTATTGTGCTGAAAGTGACGTAAAACTCTTACTAAAGTAAAAATAATAAAAATGCCCTTTACAAGTTCCCCATGAAATACCAGCGCTGTTACGTGTATACTGACCGGCCTAAATAACGCGAAAAAAGTAACACAGAGTGTAGAAAACAAAACTGAGTACTTTCGTGAGTTGTTTTCATTTGTCTCTATTTACAAGTGTTCTTGTTATTTGGAATGGCTCCATTTAAAAAGCACAACACGTAAATTGGCCGCTTATGCATCAAACAATACAACAAAGCAACCCTCTCAATGGTACGCAATTAAAACGTGAATTGAATCGTGAATTTTTGCTCACATGTTAAGTTGGTCGGGCCTATAAATTCTGTGCCCTAGAATGTTTGATTGAGTGTTACATAGTACGACTATCAAGATGCCAAGATTATCTGCGGAAAATCGAGAAAGAGCTATAATTGGATGTCTTCAAGCCGGTGGGAGCCCTCAGCAGGTGGCAACAGTCCCGGGAGTGCATGCCAGCACTGTCTACCGCCTGCAAAACAGATTACAGGCAACCGACTCCACGAGAGACCTCC